TAACTGACACATTATTTATGCATCATAAAGTTTTCAATACAACAAAAGTGTGTAGACAAACCTGAGTTAAACTGTTCAGTTGTAACACTTCTCCTACTTTCAAGGTCTGTTCGAAACTTCTGAAAAATTTCTAAGTGTGATCTGGACACCTTGTCAATTTTACTAAAATTTTCCTAAAAGCTATCGACTGAAAGAAACTGATAAGATATTGACAACACCTTTAAATCTTTATCATAAGCAGCTTCTAATTCTGAGCAAAATTTGGACCCGTGCTTGTAGTTGGATATTAAAGTCTCGTCTATTTTTTTACAGTCATTCATGATATCCTCTTTTACCTTTACTTTACCAGTAAACTCTATTAGAATTACATTTATATCTAATTTATAGAAAATACTAACTCTTTTCGACTTTCACAAAGCCTTTCTTAGTTTCATCCAGTTTTTCCATAGCTTGATCCAAGTATCTAGTGCAATCCCTCACAATATTGTAGTGCCATAAGTAATGAGAATTACCAGCAATTTCAATAAGTCTAAAGACAGATAAAATAATGACAAACTACATAGTGGTAATTAGCTTACTTTTTTTCCAATAATGGTACTTGACTAACTCTTTCCCGCCCTTCAGCAGTTGATAATTTTGACTCTTCAATTGGCTTTTTACTCGTTACTTTTATTATTTTTTTCCTTGCCTTAAGAGCTCTGGTAGTACACAAAGGTATAATGCAATCACCTGGAATAGGTACGCCTAAACACTTGCACTGTCGCTGGATGACCTCTTTTATGCTTTCAATACGCTTAATGATCTCTTCTTCATCAATGCCAGGACTTGATTCATCATCACTGTCTGAATCAGGATCAGATTCATCTTTGGGTTTTGTATTATAAAGATCAAGCCTTGTTACAGCAATAAGGATTCGTCTTTCTTCAAATGCATCTAAACAAAAGAATTGGTTAGACAAAATGATATATGCTTTACAGTTATAAAGCATATCATATGTGTCTTAATTTTTGAGGTGATAAATTCATTTCACTGGTATAAAATTTTATGATGGCTATAGCCTGGCCATGAGATGTGATGTGGAGATAATAGTTAGCAGTCCTGAACATATGGGTATCTGGTACTCTGGTAAAAAGGGGGTTAAAATTAATTTCCATGGATTTGTTTTAACGAAATTATAATAAAAAACAAAAAAATTAATACACCTTGAAAATTAAGACACATACGCTAGGTATTAGTCACTTACTTGGGTCTCTCATGACAATAGCTCTCAGTGAATCAGTATCAATAGAATCCTCCAATTGTTGAGATGATATTACATAAACGTATGCTGAGCAGGTCATCAATTGATGCTCTGATGCTTCAGATATTCCTAACTTATCTGACTCAGATAAACCAGGAGTATCTAACAGCACAATGTTAATATCACCAGTGGCACAACGACATAGGAAGGGAACATGTGCAACTACTTCATCAACACCAATTTCCTATAGAATAAAATGAAATTTCATGTCTTAAGGATGTACTTATTGCAGCTTTGTCTCTGATTTCAGTGTTCCTTTTGTGAATTGCTTTTCGAATGTTTCGACGTCCTTTAATTTCTTTGTTTTTCATTGATAAAAATTGCTACATTATACTGACATTATCAATTACAAAAAATAATCAAAATGTACTTCAGTATTTTCAAAGCAACTGCTTCCATGATGACTGGTGGGCTTGTGGCAAATTCTTAAAATAAAAGATGTTTCATTTGTATCAGCTACTGACAATACTCTATATAGGAAATTAAATCAATTGAAATAATATATTCCTCATGCTCACTCATGATGAAGGAGTGCATTCAATAATGTACTTTTTCCAGCTTTGTGACGTCCAAACACACCAATAGTGAGGACCTTATTTTGTAAAAGGTACTCCGTTTCATCCAACCATTTCCCTTGAAGAAGAATATTATTTTGGCCATTACATTTTCTAAGAGTATTCAAAATAAGCTAAAGAATCATTAATTTAAATATGCTAGCTACATAACTGTACTTGGCTGGTCTCAGTGATGGATGATGGTAACTGAGCAGTGCTGCTTTCTTGATAATAAGCTATTAAAATAATATTTGTTATTTCTCTCTCATTTAAGATGCATAATGTATCTCTCATATACTGTATTTCTACCATACTGACTTTAAATAGCTTTGTGTCCAATGTGTTGTGCTCCTTCTGCAATTGATTTAATAATGCTGGAACATTTAGAAGTAATCACATTACCAGTTAAGAGTCTTGCAAAGTAGCCAGGATTTTTATTTGATGCATTATTATCCTCAGGATGATGTTTCAAAACTTCAGACACTTCAACATCATCAGAATCCTAAGTAATGCCAAACACATGATCAGTAAAATGCAACGTAAATTCTAACTTTCCACTAACAAAGTAAACAAAAATTATTTTAATTTCCATTGGAATCAGCTTAAACTTTCTACACATGTATAATATGCATCAGAAAAAAAATATTTTTAAAATGGAGAATTCTCTCCTTTTCAATTTTGGCAAAATTTTGCCTGAGAACAGAAAGGATTAACTTACATCTGTGTTCTGTGTTGATGATTCATTGCTCAGCCTACATTTGAAAATAACACTTTATTATCAACAATATACAACACTAAAATAGCAAAACCCACAAAACCACAAAATGCCGCAGATACAATATGTGTTTGGCATATTGGCACCACCAGGAAACCAGACTATTCCAGGTCTTATTTGTATTATTAAATGCATTTTATAGTATCTCACAATCAGGTAACTTGTTGCTAGCAACCACTGTAACAGACTAAAAAGTCTCTTTCTATGACTAAGCTAATTGACTTACAAGATGCACGAGTGAGGTGTCCATTATGCCTCACAATCAATGATTGGGCGGGTGCAGAAATAAACTAACCTAGATCTAGATCTAGTATCATTCTCATCATCCTTGCTGTCTATACCGGGCACATTTAGTTCTGTATTATCCGAGGGACTTTCAGCCATTTAATTAATAAAAGTAGAGGGGAGTATACCCGATGTATTTTGATATAGGCACATAATTTTACTTAGGTAGACCACAGCCTTTTTAGATTATACGACAGTATTTTTGTGTTGTGTGTGTGAAAGATGCAATAAGACCTATTACTTTGATAGTAGTGATAGTAAAATACTGAGCTAGTCTATGAATAATGACTGGTCACATCATTTGTTTACAACACAATTTAATAATATTCTTTATAAATTAATTTTTAGCTGAAATTATAATGGCATTAACAAATCAAGACTGAAAACTGATGCTTAAACTATTATCACTAGTTTGTTCTAAAAAAATAATACTACAAGTAAGCAAAAGTCCACACTGACATGATACTATTCATTTTGTAAATGTTTAGAGAACAAGGAAATTCCATGGTGCTCTTTAGCTAAAGATAAAAGATGTATCTTCTGTTTTTCGAGATTATCAATCAAATCAGAATGAGACTTTGCCTTATCTTGATTATGTTCAGCTTTTTTCCTCCACTAGATTGCATAAAATTAATTTGTTACATGCATTATTGTTTTTACTTACTGCTGTAACTTTAGCATCCATTTTCTTTCTCTGTTCTGAATACTGTCGCCTCACCTCAGCTATGTGTTCCTCAGCAATTTTTCTGTGCTGTTTTAAATAGCTCTATTGTTTTGGGAAAAAAGAGGTAATAACACTCATTGTAACATTATAATACCTCTATTATTGTTGGTTTAATCTTCTGAAAAAATTCATGACATCCGGCCATGAAGCGTTCTTCTAATTCTAAAATGAAAGCTTGAATTTCTGGTTTCCTTCAAATAAATTTAGGCATTAAAAATAATACACCATAATGTATAATGACATACATTAAGATGCGATCTGGATCATCTTCAGCAACAAAAATTCTATAAAAAATTAAACAATTAGAGCTATAGATATTTTAAATATTTACTTCTTAAAAAATTTTTTGATTTTGTCAAAAAATTTATAGTGCCTATAATTATGATTAAAAACAACAATACTATAGCTAAAATTATATTTTTTTACACTTTGCTTTGTTCAAGTAAATCGCTTAACTTGAGATCTGGGCTATATAAACAGCAACAAATTAAACACAAAGGAATAAAATTAATCCTTACCTATCGACTGCTATTCCTCTGTCACTAATAGATTCAGAAATAATGAAATTTTCCTGTAAATGAAGATCCTCTACAAATTGCAAAAAGCAATCAAGCTATTTAAAAACTTGTTCTTACCACATGTAGAAGCAGCAGTATCGCAGTATGAGGCCAGGCAATGTCCTAATTGTTGTCTAATAGTACCTATTTGATACACTGAATTGCAAACAGCTGCATCCACTTCTCTAAACGGAAGATCTTTTAGATCATTTATCAATGACTCGTTTTCATTTTCAATTATTTGTTCAGCCCCTACAATGATACAACAAATATAGACTGACACATTATTTATGCAGCATGAAGTTTACAATACAACAAAAATGCATGGACAAACTTGAGTTGAACTGTTGAGTGGTAATATCTCCCTCTTTTTCAATGTCTGATCGAAATTTCTCAAAAGTTTTTGAGTGTAATTTGGACACCTCATTGATTTTACCATTATTTTTCTAAAAGTATATCAACTGCATGAAAGAAACAGCTAAGAAATTGACAACACCTTTAAATCTTTATCATAAGCAGTTTCTAATTCTGAACATAATTTGGACCCTTTATCATAGTTAGATTTTAAATCCATTGCCACTTTTTTAAATTCATTCATGATATCCTCTTTTTTCTTTACTTTACCATTATACTCTATTAGAATTACATTCATATCTAATTTATAGAAAATACTAACTATTTTCAAGTCGCACAAAGCCTTCCTTAATTTCATCCAGTTTTTCCATAGCTTGATCACAGTATCTAGTACAATCCCTCACAATACTGTAGTGCCATAGATAATGAGAATTACCAGCAATTTCAATAAGCCTGCATCACGAAGCAAGATACATGCACTTAAACAAATTCGTGGTAATTAACTTACTTTTCTTCCAATGACAGTATTTGACTAACTATTTCCATTTCTTCTGCAGTAGATACTTCCAACTCTAACATCAGCTTTCTCATTTCTTTACTCCTCTTTACTGGCTTTCCTCCTAGTTTCTCTTTCCTTGCCTTAAAAGCTCCAGCAGCACACAGAGGTATAATGCAATCATCTGGGATAAGCACGTCTAAACACTTGCACTGTCGCTGGATGACCTCCTTTATGCTCTCAATACGCTTGAGGATTTCTTCATCATTCCCAGAACTTGAATCATGATCTTCACTGTCTGAACCTGAGGTTTTTATATCAAACTCATCAAGTCTTGTTATAGCAATAATGATTCGTCTTTCTTCAAATGCATCTAAACACAAGGATTGGTTAGACAAAATGGTAGTTTATAGTTATAATATACTGTACAGCTAATAATATTTGTGGAGAACTCAGTTCTCCACAAATATTAAATTTTGCAAGTTTGCAAACAAACCAAAAGCACAAAATTTAGATCTGTAAAATAATTCATGCATGACCACAGTACGTAATGCTACAATAACTGTCAAAACTGCAAAAATTTAAACCGCAAACCAAGTTAACCACAAAATTAACAGACGCATATGGTATACCGTATGCATCTAAATTTTTGAGGTGATAAATATTGTGTTTCCATGGGAGGATTTATTTTTGCTTGTATTTTGTGATGGATGTAGTCTGGCCATAAAACTATATATATAATGGTATCAAGAGTGGATAAGGAGGAGGGGAGAGTGTCTAACTGCCCTATGCTGCTAGTGATATGTGCGCGTAGAAGTTTCATGGTTATTATTTGTACATTCCCGCATACCTTATTTAGCACAATAAGTGATAACTGCACTGAAGCTATAGTTGGGTGTGTACTTAACTTAACTGTAATATAAAAATGGCTGCTGAACTGAGCAGCAAGAGCCTGGACCAGAGACCTTGGAAGCAGAATTTGACCTCACCTTGTTGTACCAGTCACTTTGTACCACTTTGAAGAGATTTGTAGTTTCCAAGCACACAAACCATGTTTGTTATTGACACATGAAAAGCTCTTGATCAATGATCATCCTCCTTTAGTCTGGTCCCTTGGGACCCACAACATCAAGAGTAAGGATAATAATAGAAGTGAAAGAATATGTGGTACATGTACTTTTGAGATGGGCTGTTAACTGCTGTTGATCTTAAAAACGAAGTATTACAGATCTGAGTTCACTGGAGCAGAGGCTTCTGACTCTTGGCCCCATGTCCTCTTTCTTGATGCTTTAGGGCGCTTAGGTGTAGTGGCATGGCGCTCATCAAGATTAGATGCTCTCAATCTGTTGTAACAGTCATGATCATCTGGATTGTGTAGTTCTGACTCTTCCTCTTGAAACATCGTGACTACACGTGTGGGTGGGTGCACCATATAGGTTATTAAAAACACACCCATTTACTATCATGGCTGTTGATGTTTAAACAGTCAAAGAAGGTGCTAAACAAACTGTGAAAGACTTCTACGCGCACATATCACTAGCAGCATAGGGCAGTTAGACACTCTCCCCTCCTCCTTATCCACTCTTGATGGTATTAATGGAGATATGGTGCATTGAGTTATGGTGAGAACTCATTAATTCAACAGCACCATTATAAACAAACTTTAGCAAGTACTAACATAGAATGCAGTTAGCTTGCCCAAATGTATGGGTGTCTGCCTGTCTGGTAAAAATTAAATTTAGTGGACATATTTTTGGATAATGAAATTAGCAACAATTAATACACCTTCAAATTTAAGACGCATAGTGTTGATATTTACAATTATACAATAGGCTTACACAATTATGTGATTAACTGAATAATTGTATCATTTAGACTCCCCCATTTGTGAGCAAGTTATACATACACTCACTTACTTGGATCCCTCAAGACAATAGCTCTCAGTGAGTCAGTATCAATAGAATCCTCCAATTGTTGAGATGATATTACATAAACATATGCAGAGCAAGTCATTAAATGATACTCTGATGCTTCAGATATCCCTAACTCGTTAGATTCAGATAAACCAGGTGTATCTAACAGCACAATGTTGATATCACCAGTAGAGCAACGACATAGGAAGGGCACATGTGCTTCTAATTCCTCAACTGCAATTTCCTTTAGAATAAATGAAATTTCACATCTTAGGAATATACTTACAGCAGTCTTGTGTCTGATATCAGTGTTCTTTTTGCGAATTGTGTTTTGAACATTTCGTTGCCCTTTAATTTTTTCATTTTTCATTAATAACAATTGCTACATCATAATTACAACATAAATTACAATCAACAAAACTTAAAGTTTACTTCAGCATCTTCAAAACAGCTGCTTTCATGATGCTTAATAGGCTTATGACGAATTCTTAAAATAAATGCTGTTTCATTTGTAACAGCTACTGACAATGCTCTAGAAAATTAAATCAAACAAATATACCCTTGAGATTAGTGTATTTTTCCCTCACTCATGATAAAGAAGTGCATTCAATAATGAGCTCTTTCCAGCTTTGTGACGTCCAAACACACCAATAGTGAGGACCTTATTCTGCAAAAGGTACTCCGTTTCTTTTAGCCATTTATTATCAGGTTCTTTAATTGTATCCAAAATAAGCTAGGAGTTGAATAATAAAATAATAATTTGAATGGTTGAATTTTATTTACTTGGCAAGTTTCAATGACAGATGGTGGTAGTTCTGTAGCGATGCTAATGGGTTGTGGGAATTCTGGAGTTGTGCTAATAGATGATGGTAATTCTGGAGTCGTACTAAATGCTATCAAAAATTATTTCTCATGAGTTAAACATGTCTCTCGCATTTAGATACAATACCATAAATGTAGAAATTTTTGATGGGTTTAAATTTTGACCATTTGCTTTAACCAAAGTTTTAATTTCCAACTGAATTAAATTTCTATGATCAAATGTTCAAGTGTAGGTAGCTATAGTAGATCATTACATGCTAAAATTAAATTCCAAACCATTTGTGGCTGGTCAAAGGTTGAAAATTTCCACATTTACACTAATATATTATTACAATATTTTATATTTATTTACCATGACTGAATTGGTTTCCAATCAAATATGCTTCCTCTGAAACAAATTTAAAAAATTTTTTGCCAGAAGAAAATATATTTCCAGACAGTCTCCCAAAGTAAGTGCGATTTGCATGCACATCTGCATCATCTTGTTTCATCACAGGAGATTCTTTAACAGCTTCAGATACTTGAAGAACCTAATAAATATAAATTATAGAACAGACTATAAGGTTTTTAAATGTATAAAATAATGGACCTTATGCAATGAATAGTTTAATTAATGCACACCCAAATTGGTGGTAAAATGGCACATTTTTGGATTGAAAAGAAGCTGAACAACCTTTTATATATTAAGCTATCCTTGCTGTGGAAACCATTTTCAGCCTTCTTTTGGTTTGATCATTAGGTCTGGGTGTTCCATTTGAACTGTATAGCATTCCAATAGTGGTTAAATTTAAACATTAAAATTGTCATGGATGTGATGGATCACGATGAATCTCAAAATTTCTATCCTATTTCAGATTTTCAGTACTTAATTTGCAAAATCCCTCAAAAAATTAATTTGATCCATCATGCGTAATAAAGCTTCAAACCCATAAAATTTGACTTGACAACATTAAAAAGTCACTCACTTAAAAAACTTACATTTGTATGCTGCATTGAGAAGTTGATATTCCTAAATTAAAAAAAACACTTTAATCACTGTTATATAAAAACACTTTTATCCTTGTATGTTGCTACTGGAACTTTTGTTTAGTCTCCCATCATTCCCATGGTTTTACAACACCTCTCGTTGCAATACAGTAGCCAGTCACAACTTACATGTATTTTTGTGGGATTTATAGTATTTTGTTTAGTTTAGTATATATGTAAGAATAAGCAATAGATCTATACACATGAAAAAATTTTTTAAATCTTAATTTTTTGTTAAATTAATTTTCGTCATTTCTGTTTACACAAAGTAGATTCTGGTTTTATGAGACAGTTTGTATCATGGGACACTGCTTGTAATTTCAATGATAAAATTTTAAAATTCAAAAATCTTAAGAGTCTCTAAAATTTCATCAAACAAAAACGCTTGATTGATAAAAATTAATTTCACAGACAAAAAGTTGGATTAGGTGGCATTTTAACTACCGTATGGGTATAAAATTCTGTGTGGTATTTAATTTCGTGGATTTCATGGGTGACTTCTTAACCATCAAAATTAAAACCATGGAAATGCTTACTGTGCATGCGCAGCATGTGAAAATCAATGATTTAGTGCAAGTGCACGTGCAAAAACACGAAATTTAACCCCCTTGAAATTAAAGAATTAAGAGCTTTTTACTAAAACACGAAACTTTATATCCTCGAAATTTACTACCCGTACGGTAATTTGATCACAAGTCTTTGGAATTTATTATTATTATTATTATTATTTATTATTATTAAAATTTTACAGGACATAAACAGGAACAATAAGAGCAAACTGAGAGAAGAAAAACCATCCTGATGGAATGCCAAGAACAAGTCTGGCATGGGCCAAGTGAACACAAAAACAATTACAGACAAAAGAAAATTATTATGAGAGAGAGTAAGGAAATAGACGAGAGAGAGAGAGAGGGAGAATTAGAGTAGGAGAGGGAGGGAGAATTAGGCTAATAGGACAAAAGGCTAGATGGAAACTTAGCGGACAAAATGGCTGCCGGCCACACTGGCAGACAATGATGATTGTGTTGAGCTGAGAGACTTCTGGTGTTAATTGGCTCACCCATAACGTTATACGGTAATACATGCTCGGTACTAACCCGGTATCACTCTCGAAAGCCTCGACAGCTCTCTCAGGTTCTGATTCCAGCGTAGCCATCTCTACCTGCGCCAGCGCCAATAGCCAACCGGATTACCGGTCAATACAATACCGGAATGAGTAATGACACAAAGCACAAATCGTCGAAATCGAAACTGTTCACAAAATTTTGTTTTATAAAAAGCTCATATTTCCACAAAAATTGTAAGCCATAGATAATATCTATTTTTATACATAGAAACATTCTGTGCAGTCTATGACAGCAATTATAGTCTATAGTAAAATCATAGATGCTATAGACTTATTACAGTGGTAAAATTTATGAATAATAAATGAGTCCAGCATTGTATTTTGACAATGGAGAAGAGATTGAGTGACACTTGGGACTCCTGACATCATCAGTTAAATGTAAATATGGACCATCATGTAGTGACATTCAGTCTCTCTATCATTAACAGAAAAATAAACAATAATTGTTGTTGTTGTTTATAGACCACCCAGAGTGAGAATTGCTTGCGTGGGAACACTAGACTATTACGGTTGTAAGGCGTGGTTTACAATGAAATTAATTTCGGCCGCCATTTTGGTTGGCAACTTTCAATGGAGAGCAAACGGGACGACAAAAACAAACCTGTATTAAGAATTCTGGAGCGAATTTGACCAAATCTTTCACAGGATAAGCTTAAAGGTAGCTATTCTTTCTTATAACAAGCACTTTTTAGCTATTGATAGAGCTACAGCAGGTAAGTGAGGCATTTTCTTCGTGCCTCCATTGACTTCCTCAACAAACTTGCCAACCAAAATGGCAGTCAATTATGGTGCGTGGGCGGATAGAATCTACCGTACACGGGTGTTTATTTCAATGAATCTTTGGGCAAAAAGGGGTGTCATATCGCGTCATAAGAAATTTTCAAATCTCTGTAGCAACGCCATAGCAACAGTAGGTAGGAATGTTTAGAAGCATGTGACCAAAAGGGGAAGCCCCCTGTGGCCACAAAGCAATGCTTACTGTATAGACGGCAAGATGGCCTACAAGAAGATACTTTATTCGAGCTAGAATCACTTACTATTGTTGTTATACGGAAGGCTAAAGTTTTATATGTAGCCTTTAGTGTCTGGATCATAACTCTATGCC